CAATCTCATTTAATTCTGTTCTAATTTTAATTATTTACTTCCTTCTCCTGATTTTAGGCTTCATTTTGTTCTTCTTTTTATAGCTTTAGAAGATATAGTGTTAGATTGTTTACTTAGGCTAGTTCTTGTTTTTTGAGATAGGCCGGTAATGATATAAACTTTCTTTTTATTACCCCTCTTGCTGTGTCTCAAAAGTTTTGATATGTTGTACTTTCATTTTCATTTGTTTCTATGTATCTCTTGATCTTTTTATTTCTTCTATGACCCAGTCATTTTTCAGTAGCATGTTGTTTAACCTCCATGTATTTGTGGTTTTTCGCACTTTCTTTTAGCAGTTGATCTCAGTTTCAAAGCATTGTGGTCAGAGAATATGCTTGGTATGATTTCAATCTTAAATTTTTTGAGGTTAGTTTTGTATTCCAATATATGGTCTATCCTTGAGAATGTTCCATGTGCACTAGAGAAGACTGTATAATTTGATGTTTTGGGGTGAAAGGCTCTTTAAATATAAGTTACGTCCAAGTGGTCTAATGCGTCATTTAAGGATATTATTTCTTTATTGATTTTTCTCTTTGAATGATCTGTCCATATCCGACATTGGATATTTAGGTCCTCTATATAATAGCATTTTGGTCACTTTCTCCCTTTTGTTCTGTTAGTAATTGTTTTATGTATTTCAAAGCTCCCTAATTTCAAGCATAAATATTAATAAGTGTTATATTTTCTTGATGTATGGTTCCCTTTATCCTTCTGAAGTGTCCATCAATATCTCTCTTTACCTCTTTTATCTTGAAGTCTATTTCATCCAATATAAGTACAGCTACATCTACTTTTCTTTGGATACCATTTACTTGGATTATACTTTTTCACCCTTTCACTGAGTCTGTATTTGTCTCTGGAACTGAGATGTGTCTCTTGAAGGAAGCACGTGGTTGAGGTTTGTGTTTTGATCCAATCTGCAACTCTTTGCCTTTTTATTTGTGAGTTCAGTTCATTTATATTTAGGGTGATTATTGAAATATGAGGTTTTCCTATAGCCATTTTATCTTTTGTTTTCTGGTAGCTTGATGTTTCCCTTGTTTCCTTGTCCTTGTGTTTCTGTCATTTTAATTTGGTGGGGTTTTGTGGATTTGCCCTTTGATCCTTGTTTTATGTTATGTATCTCAATTCTGGATCATTGGTTTGTGGTTACCATTAAGATTAAGAAAAGGAGAATTGTATATATAAAGTAGTCCATTTTCTTCTGTGTGTGCTTTATCTCCACTCCCTTTTGTGAATTTGGAGCCTTGTTCCTTCCCCTTTTCTGTTATTGTTGTCTCAAACTGTTCCTATGTATGTTGAACATTCATTACTATCTTGCAATAGCAATTATCTTCTTAATGTTAAAGCTCATAATACTTTGTTTTTAACTATCCTGCTCTATCTGCCTGCTAATTGTCTTACTCATAGTTATGTATTTTTTTTTTTTTGTCACTTTGTTTCAGGTGGGCTGACCTCCTTCAGTATTTCCTGTAAAGCAGGTCTTGCAGTGGAGAATTCCCTCAACTTTTGTATGTCTGTAAAGGTCATATTTCTCCTTCATTTCCAAAGGAAAGTTTTGCTGGACATATTATTCTTGGCTAGTAATTCCTTTCATTTAATAGTTTGAATATTTTGTTCCACTCCTTTCTTGCTTGTAAAGATTGTGCTGAGAAGTCCCAAGATAATCTAATAGATTGTCCTTTATAGGCTTCTGTCTTCTTTTTCCTGGCTGCCTTAAGAATTCTTTCTTTGTCATTAATTTTTGACAATTTTAATATAATGTGTCTTGGAGAAGGCCTTTTTGGGTTGAGATAATTGGGTATTCTGTTAGCTTCTTGGATTTGAAGCTTCAGCTCATTCCCTAGGTTTGGGAAATCCTTGTCAACTATTTGTCTGAATATTCTCTTTGTTCTCTTCTCTTTCTTTTCCTCTGGTATACCCATTATTTTTATGTTGCTTTTCCTATGTTGCCAGCTAGTTCTTGTATTTCTTTTTCATTCTTTTCATTCTCTGATATCTCTCTCCTCTTCTGAGTCATTTCTAGATTTCTGCCTTTGATATCACTGATTCTCTCTTCCATCTGGTCAGCTCTTTTTCCAAAGCTTGCTATGTCACTCTTCATCTCTTTTAGTGTATTCTTCATCTCCAGAACTTCTATATGGTTCTTTTTTGGGCTTTTAATCTCCTTCCTAGTTACCTATAAGAGAGCTCCTATAAGACCGTCAGCTGATTTCTCAGCAGAAAACTTGCAGGCCAAAAGGTTTGGCACAAAATATTTAAAAGGATGAAAATCTATGATGTACAACCAAGATTACTGTACCCAGCAAAGCTAGCATTCAGAATCAAAGAACAGATAAAAAGCTTTTCAGTCAAGAAAAAGCTAAAGGAGTTCATCACCACCAATCCAGTATTATAGGAAATGTTGGAGGGACTTATTTAAGAAGAAAAAAATATGCGTCAAAAATATGAATAAAGAATGGCAATAATTACATATCTATCAACAAGTACTTCAGATGAGAAAGAATTAAATGCTTCAATCAAAAGATAGGATGGCTGAATGGATAAAAATACAAGACCCTTATATAGGCTGCTTACAAGAGATTCACTTCAGACTGAAAGACACACATAGATGGAAAATAAAGAGATGGAAAAAGTTTTATCATGATGGACCCAGAGGGTATTGTGCTGAGTAAAGTACAACAGAGAAAAAGAAATGCCATTTGATTTTGCACACATGTGGAATCTAACGGACAACAACAACAACAAGGAACAAATGCATAGATACAGAGAACATTTTGTGGGTTATTGGATGGGAGGGGTGTTGAAGGGTATAACACAGAAGCTCCAGGCCTAGAACCCACACCTTGGATAGTCCAGAAAAAACCACCAGGGAGGACCAGACCGGTGTGACATGCCGTTTATTACTCACGGGGTAGGGAAGTTTCAGCTGCAGCCAGAGGGAGCTGCAGAAAAAGCTACCCGGCTAAAGGCAAGCAATGTTTTTATGCACACAAGCAGAAGGAGGGGTAATTTCATTGGGGGAGGCGGATGAGAGTAAGATGTGCTGCTTGGTTACAGTAGCAGATAATGTTCATGGGAGCAGCAGAAAATGTTCTTGAGTGCCAGCACTGCCCAAAGCTCTTTGTGTAGCACCTTCCTTGTCTCCTGGCCAGGCAGCCAACAGCCTTCTGAGTATGTGGAGGGGCTAAGTTCTGAATTAACCCCATGGTGGGGTGGGGGGTAGGTGAAAAAGGGGGAAGGGATTAAGAAGTACAAAATGGTAGTTACGAAACAGTCATGGAGATATAAAGTATAGCATAAGGAATAGAGTTAATAATATTGTATTAACTGTACGGTGTCAGATAAGTAGTAGATTTATTGGGGTGATCACTTTGTGAATTATATAGATGTCTAATCACTATGTTATATACCTGACGCTAATATAATATTGTATGCCAACTATAATTGAAAAATTAAAAAATATTTAATAAAAAAAGTGGTAAGAGAATTTGACTTTGAAAGGGTATCATGAGTGAGTTTTGGGGCAATGAGGAAATCAGTTCTGTAGGTAACTGTGGTGGTGTTTACATAAATCCATGCATTTGTAAAAATTCACAACTGCACCAAATAGAGTGAACTTTGGTGTATATAAATTAAAAAGTAAATTAAAAAATTTATATCTCAATAAATGACATCTTACATATTTTTACTTAAATATTTGAATTTCTTTTACCTCACAATGGTAATTTCCATACATACATTATTCATTTCCATTTTCTTTTTTATTATATTACTGCACAGTTCTGTAGCCCATTTTAAGTTTTCTATTTATTTAAAGATGTCCTTATTAATACATATTTTCTTTCAAATAATAAAAATATAATTTTCTGGTTTTATTTGCTTTGAACATATTTAAAACTAGAACCGAGTTGTTATTTTCTGTGTTAAAATGTATCAGGTTTTAAATTTATGGTTTCTATCTTTGGTGTCACGACTTCTCCATTTCAACGTATTTATTTCTTTAACTTAACGGTTTAAACATTTCAAATATTGAATCCACAATATTTGTGGATTGAATAGTATCTCGTGTAATCTACGGATTTAACCTTTATTCCAGATTGTTGAGAATGACTTGCTCTTTGGAGTACTCCATTCTTTCTGTCATTGTATAATAACTGCTAATTTACTATACGAGATTTAAAATAATACTCTTCATAAAACTCAGAAAATCAACAGTAATAAATGTTTAAATAAATGTCGAAAAATGCTCTTAATCATTGCTGTTGTATTTCCATTAAGCGGTTGCCAAATTATTTTGAATAACAAAGCAATTTATACATATCGATATTTCTTAGGCAATTTTTCTCCTTTTAAAAATGTTTCCTGGCTGTTAATTTAGAATTTTATTTATTCTGGATGACGTTAAGAATGCTTTTGTGAAGTACATATTGAAAATAAAAAAGTATACACAAAAATTTGAGATTCTTATTGGAATTTTGTCAGAATATTGATTTTTCTATGAAAGGTTCTACCTCCATTTACTCAAGTAATTTTGTCAGAGGAAAAAATATGTTTATATAAATGAATAAAGATATCTTTTTTGTGTGTGAATTATATAGGCTTTTATAATTATATAGATTGTGTCTTTTCTGACTTATCTACAATTTCGTTTATTGCTTTAATGATATTGACGAACTAGCTTTCTTGTCCGCCCGCTCCAGAGAATATCTGTGATGGGGTCAGATATTATTTTATGTATTGCTAGGATCATTTCCTAGTAGTCAAAAAAAAGTAAAATTGACAGGCAGGTTCCCTTTCTTTGACAGCTATTTCTAAACAGCACACTGGCAGCACATAGAACTCAGTTGTAACCCTTAACTTTGCGGGGAGTCCATGAAGGAACCACGGCTTTCGGTTGCTTTTGGAACTCAGACGCGCGCCCCGCCCCCAATTTCTCACATGCTACGTAAGGTGGCACCTCTCCGCCAATCTAGAAACGCTAGTAGCAAACACCAGAGGAAAAAGTAGTTCTGTAGTATAGTGCAGATAGTGCTCTGCTCCGTGTGCAGGTCTTCTGCGCATGCCTAGTTCCGCCTTCTGCCTCTATGCACTTCCGCCTTTTATTTCTGTTTTTCTCAGGCTTCTCGTGGAAGGTGGTTCTGAGGTCGCGAGTGTATGCTCTTTTCTGCGGTCCGTGTCACATGACAAGGGAGCGGCGGGTGAGCCCTGGCGGGTAGGAGGAGGGCCTGGGAAGGCTCGTGCGGCTGTAGGGGAGGCGATCAGTGTCCAGTGGTGGGGAGGAGCGCTCCAGACCCTTGGGACGGCGGAGTGCGGGCGTGTCAGTCAAGCCTAGGAACTGGAATCCCCACGTGACCAGCCTCTGCACGGAGCACGGTTCGTGAGGCCAGGTCCTCGGGCCGCAGGAGAAGGGCATGTGCTCTTGCGTTACGATTGCACCTAGTCTGTGGGGAGGAGGCGCGTGTGTGACGTATTACTTGTGTGGCGTGGTATGGGAAGAAGGAGTGGCCAGGAATGGCTGATTCAGTTATCACTCCAGACACCGTTCCCTTGATTCTCTGATTTTTTTGGGGGGGTAGGGGGGACGGGCGGGTTAGGTGCTATCCGATCTCGTCCATCAACGTATCTTGTTATATGCTATTGCTCTTTCCTGATTTGCCCTAGCATTCAGGAAGCAGTTTCAGGGATCATCTAGTTTGTCTCATTTGCTAGAAAAAAAAATTGTTTTTCTTCTGAAGGTTAGTGATTTATGCAGGACGACAGATTTGTCAGTGATGAAGACTGAAAAGTTAAGATCTCTCGACTCCTGGGCAAGTACTGCCTACTTTTCCGCACAAGTAAAAGCATGTTGCGTGTAAAAGAACTTTTTGAGAAATCGCATTGAAGTTAAAGAAATTAAAACAGACCTTTCCTTAAAGCACTGCTTTTTATAGCTTTCTTTGGAGTCAATAACTAAAGGTTTAGTAACGTTAGGAAAATTGATAAACAGCGTAGCGCTCAGTATTTTTTACAACAGTTTTTTGGTGAGGAGTTAATGTTCCTTCATTAGGTGTGTTATTTGTTTTAATCAGTCTTGTCATTTAAACTTTTTCTTTTGTGAACACCAAGGGATATTTAAACTTATAAAAAATCCATAGGAAGCAAATATATATATTTACCCAGTAAAAAATTTTATGCCCCAAAGCTATATGATTATATCAGAGTCAGAGAGGTGCTCTTTTACTATCCTCCTGTTCCTTCTGAAGGTCCAACGGATATTGACATTCTTCCTACCTAGTGGGTGTGTGTAGCTTTAAAGGGCAGGAGAATTCAGGAGCTGCCAGGCAGGCCAGATCTTTCATGACCCAATTCCTCTTCTAACCCAGCATGTCTTCAGAGTTGTCTACATTTTTCCAAGAACAGAAGAATATGAACAAATTCCAGGTAAGTTGTTTGTCCCCACTTTGTATTTTACAATAGATTTAATATGATTTCTAACAGTCCGTATGTTAAGATGGGAAATTAGTAATAGGTAAGATAAAAATCGAATTTCACAGAAAATATAAAGATCAACAGCAAGACCAAGTTGGCTTATAGATATATACTGATCATTGTATATCTTAGAGTTTCTAAGTCGACCTGCAAATGTGTCTTTGATGTTTTTGATAACCATGGTAGAAAGGGAGACACTTGGATACAGACAAATTCCGTTCAAGACACAAAGACTCCCTGGAGATACCTTTTTTAATCTTAATATAGGGAAACAGTGACTTACCTTCCAGTGACAGCCCTGAAATATGTTCCTGAAACTGTTCTTTACTAAGAGTAAAAGGGTCCAAGTGATGGTTCAAGCAGTGAATTTTATAATGGTCTTGTTTGATCCTAGTATAAAATCTAGAGAAATTAATGGCCTGCATGCCTGTTAGAAAAACTCTCCATAACTATTTTATCTTAGCTAGGCTGTGTATACAAGGTGTGCAGCAGATGGTTAAAAGTTAAGTTCTCTGGTAAATGTTCCTGAGCTTCTCAGTCAAACTTCATTCCATAGTATTCTCTCTTGGTTCTTCCCCTTCACTTTTTTGAATCTATCTCGGTAAAGGTCACCAATGACTTAGTTGTAGTTGCCTTCTTTGAACAACTGCTGCATTAGCCTACTGACTTCTCTCTCTAGGAAAGTATCCTTTGTCTTCTACTCATACCACTATTTTTTTTTCATATCACTCTTCTGATGGCTGTTTTTTTGGAGTCTTCCTCATTGTGCCCCTAGTTTAGTTCCAGGTTTTCATCCTTTGCCTACTAGTTTTCTCATTTTATCTCTATATATACATTGAAATGATATATAGTTAGTTGAACAATACTGTTTATTGTTTTGGGAGCTTTAAAAAATATATAAATTACCTTAATGTATATATTATACACATTTTTTCTCAACTCATAAATAATTTAAGATCTATCCAAATGTTGTTTATTCTTTTTAATGCTATGTTTTCCCATTGTATGGCACACTGTTCTAATTACTGTATTTTATTGGTAGACATCTAGGTATTTTCCATTTTTCAGTAATATAAATAATGCTGCTGTGAATATTCTTGTCATTCTCTCAGCACAATCACAAATGTATCTCCAGACTCTAGAGCAGTGCTTCTCAAAGTAAGGTTCTTTAACTAGAAGGAGCAGCATATCCTGGAAACTTATTTTAAATGCAGATTCTCATGCTCCATTCCAAACCTACTAGCAGAGAAATTCTAGCGGGGAGGCCCAGCAATCCATATTTTCACAAGGCATCCATGTGATGCTGATACTCAGTAAGTTTAAGAATCAGTGCTCTAGAGTCCTATGATTAATATTTTTGGATTGTAGAATATGAAGATTTCTAATTTTTCTAGGTATATTATTATTCTTTAGAAGTCTACTTTTCCTCCTTCCTCTCCAGATATAAAAATTATTCCTATGCTAATGTGTGAAAAACTAAACTGTTTAATTCATATGTCTAATTATTGAGTTGCGAACTTTTATAAATTTATGGCTTTTCAGGTTTTTTTTACTGAGTTTTGTAAGAATTCCATATTTTAAATGATAATCTTTTGTTATAATTGTTACTAATTATTTTCTCTCAGTATGCTTTTTGTCTTTTAACTTAATGGTATATTTTCTGAAACTTTTATATTGTGGTACAACTCTTTGATATCTTCTATTTTTTATTCTTGCTTTCCATACCCCAGAGACCTAATGAAATTTTTCTATATTTTGTCTAAAAATACCAAACTTATTTTAATATTTAGTACCTTAAATAAAATTAGATGAAAAGATCTAATTTTATATTGGTCCATCTGTAAAAAATAAGCAGCATAATTAAAAGATAACACTTCCTGACCTAGGACTAATAAAATAGAACTTGGTAGGAACGCCTGCCATGTTTTTTCATTATGCATGCTGCTGGCTTTTGACTTAGGTAGATACATTTTGTCATGTTCACAAAGTATCCATTGAGTCTTATTTTATTAAAAATGAGAATTTAATTTTTCCACAAGCCTTTTTAACATTTTATGGGGATGATGATGTAACTTTTTTCTTTAGATCTATTGAGTTATATTCCCACATTTCTCGACAACTAATCTTTGTGTTCTGAAACAAGACCCACTTGATCAAAAAGTGTTATTCTTTTAATGATTAGCGTAATTCTGCTCTTCAGTATTTTTTCCATAAACTTGTCTATATTATTTTTATCATTTTAAAAAAGTTTAATTTATTGCTTTTTTTTATCCCTAACAGTTTTACATTTGTGCCTTTTTTGACCAATTTTTATACAGACATGTATTTTATTAGTCTTTTAGGGAACTGGCTTTTGGTTTCATTGACTTTAACTATAATTTTCATTAACTCCTATCTTTACTCCTTCCTTCAGCTATCTTGGCTATAACTGCTTTTTCTATTTTCTTTTTTTTTGTTAAAGTTTATTTTAGAGTTTTTTAGTATACACATTTAAGGTTATAATTTCCCCAAGTAGCAATATGTAATGCTTTCTTTTTTTCTACACAGGTTTCAGTTTTCTTTCTGATGCCTGTTCAATCAATAAATCAAAATGTATTTTTATTTTTAACAAATCTTATTTTTAAATTAAATTTATTGGGGTGATATTGGTTAATAAAATGATATAGATTTCAATAATACATCATGTATATTGCATTGAGGGTTCACCACCCACAGTTTCCTTCCATCACGTTGTATTTGACCCCCTTATCTATCACCCTCCATGTCTTCTAGTAACCACTAAATGTTGTTTGTGTCCATGAATCCCTGTTTATCTTGTTCATTTGTTGCCTTCAGTTTTATATCCCACATCTGAGTGGAATTATATGATTCTTAACTTTTTCTGTTGACTTAACTTCACTTAACATGATAATCTGAAGATCTATCCAATGTTGTCGCAAATGGCAGTATTTCATCTTAAGACCCAGTAATATTCCATTGTATTACATCTTTATCCAGTCATCGAGGGGCACTTTGCTTGTTTCCATGTCATGGCCACTATGAATACTGCTGTAATGAACATCGGGGTGCATATATCTTTATGGGTAAGAGTTTTCAAATTTTTTGGGTAGATACCCAGAAGAGAGATTACTGGGTCATATGGTGACTCTAGTTTTAATTTTTTGAGGAACCTCTATACTGTTTTCTACAGTGGCTGTACCAGTTGACATTCCCATCAGCAATGTATGAGGGTTCTTTTTTTTTCTTTTTTATAATCTCTCTGATACTTGTTATTACTTGTCCTTTTGATGATAGCCATTCTAACAGGCATAAGGTGGTATCTCATTGTGGTTTTGATTTGTATTTCCCTAATAGTAAAGTGAAGCATCTTCTTATATGTCTGTTGGCCGTTTGTATGTCTTCTTGGGAGAAGTGTTCAGGTCCTCTGCCCATTTTTTTATTGGATTGTTTGTTTTTGTTGTTGTTGAGTTGTATGAATTCTTTATATATTGTGGATATTAGCCTCTCATAGGAAGCATTGTTTGCAAATATCTTCTCCCATTAGGTTGGTTGCCTCTTTTTCTTGTTGATGGTTTCTTTTGCTCTGCAGAAGTTTTTTAGTTTGACATAGTCCCATTGATTTATTTTTGCTCTTAACTTCCTTTGCCTTTCAGGTCAAATACATTAACAGCCTTTCTAAATCTAAGGTCTGTGAGTTTAGTACCTGTGTTTTCTTCTTTGCAATTTACTGTTTCAGTTCTTATATTTAGGTCTTTGGTCCATTTTGAGTTATTTTTGGTATATGGTGACAGCAGCCTAATTTCATTTTTTTGCATGTGGCTTTTCAATTTTCCCAGCACCATTTATTGAAGAGGCTTTTCTTTCTCCATTGTATGTTTTTGGCTCCTTTGTTGAAAATTATTTGCCCATATATGGGGGTTTATTTCTGGGCTCTCAAATCTGTTCCATTGGTCTGTGTGTCTGATTTTCTGCCAGTATCATGCTATTTTGATTATTGTCGCTTTGTAGTATAATCTGCAGTCAGGCAGAGTCATACCACCAGCCTTTTTTTTTTTTCTCAGGATGGCTTTGGCGATTCAGGGTCTTTTGTGCTTGCATACAAATCTGATGGTTTTTTGTTCTGTTTCTTTAAAAAAATGCCATTGGGATTGTTATGTGGATTGCATTAAATCTGTATGTGCTTTAGGTAATAAGGTCATTTTAATTATGTTGAACCTTCCAATCCATGAATACAGAGTATGTTTCCATTTGTGTGTGTTTTCTTCAATTTCTTTTAATAATGCCTTGTAGTTTTCAGTGTGTAGGTCCTTCACATGCTTTGTTAAGTTTATTGCTAGGTATTTTATTTCTTTTTGTTGCAATTGCAAAAGTAATAGTTTTTTTTTTTTTTTTCATTTTTCTGAAATTTCATTATTAGTGTATAGGAACACTGTGGATTTCTGTACATTGATTTTGTATCCTGACACTTTACTGTATTTGTTTATTGTCTCTAGTAGTGTTCTTGTGAAGTCTTTAGGGTTTTCTAATATAATCATGTCATCTGCAAAAAGAGACAGTTGACTTCTTTGTTCCCAATTTGGATGCCTTTTATTTCTTTCTCTCGCCTGGTTGCTCTAGCCAGGACTTCCAATACTGTATTGAATAATAGTGGTTATATCAGACAACCTTGTCTCGTTCCTGATCTTAAAAAGAAGTTTCTTAGGTTTTTACCATTGGGTAAGATATTAGCAGAGGGATTGTCATAGATGGCCTTTATTATGTTGAGATAGTTTCCTTCTATACTTATTTCCTTAAATGTTTTAATCATAAATTAATGTTGTATCTTGTCAAATGGTTTTTCTTCATCTACTGATGATCATGGTTTTTATTCTTTATTTCGTTTATGTGGCATATCACATTAATCAATTTGTGTATGTCAAATCATCCTTGTGACCTGCAATGAACCCCACTTG